TTCCGGAAAACTCCGAAGTGTAAATTCCTGCAGGAGTGGATGAAACGAGGGAAGCTGTGCCTGCACGTCTGCGGCGCCGATTCTGTGCAACGTCATTAATCTTGACAGATCACTCTTATTCAACTGCTGTATTTGTTATGCTTGTATGTTAGTCTTTGGTGACTCCCAACAATAATATTTAACTTTAAAACAGCAACTGCCTCTACATTGAGTCTGGTCCTCTCTGCAGTGAACGTGTCCCAAGACAAACTAATGCAAAAGCAGAACATGACGTTGCTACTGGCCGTGGCTCTATGCCCTGCAAGACGTATGCATTTATTTTGAAAAACTAATTTCCTAATTTTTCTTGGACTACTCCGCCCGGTTAAGCAATATCAACAATATGCTGCAATATTCTTAATTGCTGTTGTGTTGATTTGATCAAACTCTCAACTCCCTCGCTGCTGCAACTCCAGCCTCCCAGTGAGGACCTCATGGGAAATAAACGAGTTAGCGTTATTGTGTTATCCTTTATAAAAGCCTTGTGTCCCCATTTTAAAATATAAACACTCAGGGAACAGAACAATCAACAGTTTTATCAAGCTGGATTCAACGGAGTGAAGAGGCTTTTAAAATGTCTTAACTTGCAGAAGTGCAAAGACAATCAGTTTTGTTTATTTTGATAATAGATTAAATGACTGATATGAAAGAGGCTTCTCAAAGTGACAAGCCAACAGTGAAATATAAGCAGCTTTGTAGCTCAACCCTCTCTGGATCTATTTTGGATCATTGTTTTGGTTTTACCGCCCACCACTTTAATTTTCTGGTTTGCTTTCAGCTCTCTCATGTGCGAAGCTGTTTGCAGCTCAGAAAGCTCTAAAAATGTACTGTACATTAGCTGCTCTGCACCGAACAGCAAACAGAAAATCTTAACAGCCAACTGGTGAACACTTTGGACACTTGAGCAGCTAATGAGCAGGATTATTCCCACAGGATTCAAAGTTAAAAAGAGAGTCAATATTGGACTTACATTCATTGGATGGATAAAAAAAAAAACTGTATTCATGCTATCTATGCAATGTTGCTCATTGTCTCTGTGCTGGATGTTCAACATGGCAACTTTATACATTAAATATGCTTTAATAAAATATGTCAGTATTGTGTTTTCAGCTTGTCCCATTGCCCCCAAATGGACATAAATCAGTCCCATTTAGTCCAATGAAGGATGCTGACTAAAAAGACAAGAAAAGTTTTGTACTTGAGGTTGATTTTCTGCAAACTGGCAACACAAAAGCTCTTCATAACTTTTTTATCACACATGTATGAAGCATGAGTGACTTGTTAACCATTAATAAATCCACTAATTACAGTATATAAACCCTGTGTAAATGGTCCCTTATCAGAAAGGGGTGATGTCTGCCGCAATTATGTGCTGATCGGTACAGACATAGATTTTTACACGTCTCTCTCTCTCTCCCATCATTTCCTGTATATTTCTCTATGTGCACGTTCAGCAGAATGAAGGAAACATAGTGATTAACTTCAAGAGATTTAACAGAACCTAAGAGAATCAATCATGGCTGCAAACTGAACTGCCCAACAACTGGACAGCACAGCTCATGAAAAGGTCAGTAGCAGTGTACCAATTCAGGGGCTGCATCCTGCGGAGGCCGCATTTAAATATGATTGCAACACAGCGGCGAAACTAAGCGGTCCTTTTTTTGGAGGCTCCTTCAAATGTGTCCTTTCTTTCCCGAGAAACAAAGAATCCAAAGGGTGGATCATTCTTGGGTCAACCTATAACAGGACTCATTGTGCACCGGTGATTAATCGCTTTTCAGAAAGACACTATGGCGGCAAACATCAAAGATAAATCAGAGTCTGAGATATTTTTAAATAAGTGTCACGCTTCGAGTCAAATAGCTGATGCTTCAAGTGTTAAAGGGAAGACAGTAGGGATTTGACGGCCAAACTGCTATTTAAAGGTACAACTTTAAGCTGGTGACAGATTGGAAATCCTGCGCAGACAAGAATCTAATTATTGTTTGGCCTTCGCAGTCTACACAGATCACAAAGACACGGCCTTTGTGATCTGTGTAGACCTCGTCCTCTGAAGGACACAGCTGATCCAAGCATCACCTGGATCACCTGCAGCAATAAATCAACCAGTCAACAATGTGAACATTCTATTCAATACTTTGCACTTAAATATCAAAACAGGAACTAAACTTGCAATGTCTTATTTTTACATTGTGGTGTTTGAACTTTAATTAAAGGATATGATGAAAATCCAGCAGTAAATCAATGAATCATTCAGCCAAGAAGATGAAAAAAAAAGGTTTGCCTTCAACTAAAATATGGTTTCAAACCTGAGCCAAACACACACACACACACACACTTCTTCAATACATTTGTTTTCCATTCCTGTATTGTGAGAATTACCCCGAGCAAAGAATCTGGAGTTTATAATCATAGCGATAAACTGCCCTCCATGTATTAACTGGAACTTCTATAATCCCACTAATTCACTGGACTGTGCTCAGAAGAAAAGTTCTGGGAGTTGTAATAATTTTCCGAGTAAACATGATTTAAGAGGACGTTGGCCCGCAGTATACAGCCCATACAACACACACCAGCAACAATGTCGAAACAGTTACCTCCGATGCTCAGCGGGTCATATTACCCAGCTGTGTCACCCTCGGTGTTGCAAAAGAGCACGCACCTCTGGCCAGAAATAACATTTCTGAACCAAACCAAAACGAGCTCCGCTTGTAGGGCAATCACGGTTAATGTCCATGAAAGGTATGTGGGGACCTGGCGGCTGTGAAAAAACACAAGGCGAAACCGTTTCTGAACACACAGAGCTGTCGAGTTCCAACAGGCAAGAGATCGGATTCGACCAATTTAGACTCAGAGAAGTTTCTTTAGAGACATGATCACAAATATTTATGTAAGAGAAAGTACATTTATTTCTTGCCTAACACTAATACGTCCCATATGACCCGAATCTCTGTGTGACTTTGAAACCTTAATTAAATACATGAGGTCATCCCACTCTACGCAATATAAACACAAGTATTAAAGAAGCATTAGCAACAAGGTCGTGACTTAATAAGACCTCTACTGGCCACCCAAGGGAATTACACTGATGAGTTGTTTCCATCCAAGTGTTGCTTCAGTCTTAATCAAACTGCCAAAAAGAGAAGATTAGGATCAGCAGGTGTTTTTTCCATCAGCTGGTTTATACGACTGTTTAGTGCTGAAGTGTGGACAGAACGAAGCTAGCCGTTTCCTCCGTTCTGGTCTTTACGCTAAGCAAAAGTAAAGACCTTTACAAGAAGTTACCATCTTCAAGAAGGCAACTGTAAACTTTACTAGAAGATTAAGAGCCAGAGTTCGGTGCTAGAGATCAGACGTTGGCAGATACAATGAATGGACCAGAACCGTACGACAAAGATTACTCTAAGATGGACACCTCCTGGAAAACAGCGAGAGGTGAGGTCCACCCTGCACAGGACGCAGGGCTGACACACAGAGACAAACGACCATACGGTCAATTTAGACACTCCAATTAGCCAAACCCCAATTTGCACGAAACCTTCCTGCTTTTGCTTTCCTGATTTCTAAAAAGCTTATTCAAAATGTGTATAAAAACCGAGAATGAACTGTCAACTTTGAACACCCTGATCAAGTCCATGTGGCACGACTGAGAGCTCGAGAAAGAGCAAGCATGTCAAAGTCCACATGGTTGTTTTGTTGATTCCAAGGTGAAGAATTAGCAGTAAAGCTTGACAGGAGTGTTTCTCTGGCAGCGTAGTCTCATTTCAACCTTGTTTCTTGTTGAGTGTTTAAATATTTGCCTCATGCAACATCCACTAAATTAAAGCCAAATATTGTTAAGCCTCACATCTCGTATAGAACCAATGATCCGGCTTTGAGGCCCATACTTCAACTTGAAATCCAATGACATGTTTTGAAACCGTTGTTTACATTTTGAAAAGTCAGCGATAGGAAAACACTCCCCAAAATCTGAAATGCTTTTTATTATTTTCTTCCCCTGGTGTGAAATTGAGGCGAACACGCAGTGCCAGGGCAAACAATATTTCAGGGCGAAACAAATCTTGGCTCGCCGTGCTCCATCTGAGCGCTTGAACAAACAATCTGAGCATCTGTTAAAATAATCGCTGAGTCACTGGTATTGATCAACAACCTGATCAACCTCCCAATGGCATATAAGGGCAATATTGTGCTTTTACGGAACGGCTCGAAACATATTTACTACTGATGCGATAGCCACTTAAGACTGAATTGGGTAAATAATAAAATTAAGTGTGATTCAAACCTCGCTGCACACACCTCTGTGCAATGGGATCTCTGGCCCATGCCTGCGACCATAAACCCTGATTCCCCAGCACAAGCTCCATGTCAGTGATACCATGAGACTAATGATTAAAACAAGCCTCCTCATCTGTTTGAATCTCACTAAGCCAGATTTCCACCCCCTGCGCAGCACTTTTCATTCCAGCCACATTACATAAATCAGTGGACTGCAGAGGAGTGGAAAGGAAGAGTCCCACAAGCAATAAGAGGGAAAAATATCACAGGGAACCATTTGGGTAAGAGTTCACTGCAGTATATAGCAGCATGTCTAATAATTGCCTTCCTAAAAAATCCTGGTTGCACAATAAAAGCCAGTTATTGTGTAATCAGAGCTGATGATAACATCTCTTAACTAAAGGTGGAGGTTTGTCCAAGTGTTTTCTTGGGTCTGAGGAGATCTTTCTTCATTCATCATGAACTCTGACAGGTTAGTGACATTACTGCACATCCAGCAAACAGTGGCTCCTGTCATTACAAAGTACTAACTGCATTTAAACTTCTGTACTCAACAGACTGGGTGTTTGATTAATTAATTAATTAATTAAAAACATTCAATCTGGATAAAAGCAAAGTTATAAATCTACAACAGAACAAACACAACATGTTCATCAGCTCTATTTTAAAAACACAGCTCTTCTTACCGTCTCGTGTCATCGTCCACGGCTCGTGGGTCCGTCTGTGCCTCGCGCAGGCTGCACGCGGACTGTGCTTCCCACCGTCTCCGCAGCGCGCGCCCGACTGGCTGCATCTGCTCTGCTGCGCGCGTGCACAGTGACACGCACACCCCTTTTTTTCCTAATCAAACAGAATGAGAATGAGTGTGCGCAGCAGTTTGTCTATCTGTCTGTCTGTTTGTCTGTCCATCCATCCATCCATCCATCCATCCATCCATCTATCTATCTATCTGTCTGTCTGTCTATCTGTCTGTCAATCTAACCATCTGTCTATCTATCTATCTGTCTGTCTGTCTGTCTGTCTGTNATCTATCTATCTATCTGTCTGTCTGTCTGTCTGTCTGTCTGTCTGTCTATCTGTCTGTCTGTCTGTCTGTCTGTCTGTCTGTCTGTCTGTCTGTCTGTCTGTCTGTCTATCTATCTGTCTGTCTGTCTGTCTGTCTGTCTGTCTGTCTGTCTGTCTGTCTATCTATCTATCTATCTGTCTGTCTGTCTGTCTGTCTGTCTGTCTGTCTGTCTGTCTGTCTGTCTGTCTGTCTGTCTGTCTGTCTATCTATCTATCTATCTATCTATCTATCTGTCTGTATAACCTACACATACACACAGCCTACATATGCATATATACATACACATATACCATAGTCACTTTCCACCGGGGGAACGTTTCACTATGATGAGAAGTTTATTCTTAAAGAGACAAAAAGTGCAGCACCCCACAGAGGTTAACACGGCCCTGCGTATATTACATCACCTGACAGCTATAGTTACCTTGGAGATGAAATACTTATAATAATAGATTAAGTAATCACATACAAAATATGATAAACATACAAAATATTACACTATATTACATTAATACAACAAGTTGATTGCACTGTTCAATTACATTAATGACATTGTTTGCATTTACATTGTGAGTGTACATTAAAGTATTTCTAACACTTGTGGTGTTGCTGTAATATTTTTTACCAATCATCCAGAAGGACTTTTATTTTGCTGATATGTTTGATCATAACTGTTGTTTCTGCCGTTGAAGTGAAGCAGCTCAGACCTGCGTGTGACTTCGATCCACACAATGATCCCCTTTTATCAATATTTATTAAAAACATGATCATAAATCATTAATATTCGATTTCAGATTTATGGTGATTTACTTTTTTGAACTTCTTGATACATTTTTAATGGCATCACATTAATTTTCCTTCTTTCCACGTGTTGAAACAAACCTTGGCGTGCGTGCAGCTTAGCATTAAAAGCGAGTCCGTCATTAATCAAATTTTGGTGGTTGACTTTTTCGGCTCCTGCTGATCTCATATTGAAATGTCTGTTTGTAAAAGAACAAATTTACAATTGATTCAAATGTGCGCGAAAACAAATGTCAGGCAAATATATATAACACGCTGTTTGTATCTGCGTCTCCCCTATGATTTAATAATTTTCCTACATAATAACTGACAGTGTCTTTAGTACTTAATAGTGGGTTCACATGGGTCCTGTTTCACTTCACGGTATTTTTATTTCCAGTGTATCCCTATAATTTTGTGCTCAGTGTGTTTGTTGTGCTCAGCATTGACCTTTTCCAGAATTTCCTATTGTATCTCTGCAATTAATACGAAATATCACCCTCCCCTCGCTACATGCACTGGCGTCAATGAAGTATAATCCTTTTCCACATTTGCAGAAATCTCATCAGAACTTGGACATCATGCGTGACAACCTGTCAAACGCCTGACCCTCACCTCATCCCTGTTGAGACGAACAGAAACACACGAAGAAGGCAAACAAACAGAGGAAGCTTTCATCTGCGTATCTGATTCAACAGGGAAACTGAGAGTCTGAGTTGTATTCCTGATTCCTGAGATGATGCAAAGAGCTGTAAACAAGTCCACTGGGACGCCGCTCAAAGTGAAACCAGATGGGGGGAAAACAATCCACAAAAGAACATATTCTCCGTGAAAAATTGAGACATTGTCGAGGGTTTCATCTCCTAACTGGAGACAGAAAACAGCTGGGACTGCTTTCGCTCAGTTGCCATTCTGTCTCTCTCCCTCCTCAGGTGCAGTAAAGTCATTCGGAAATATTAAAAAAGCCTCTTCTTCTCACTGCAGACATTTCATCTTGTCACAGCAGGGAAAGAACAGTTGTTACTAATAACATTAACAATGGCTCTGTTCTTTCCAAGTGTCCCAGTAAGACCTGACAGTGTGACAGTGCGAGGCAGCATGAACAATACCAGCACCCTGGAGCTGAAGCAGCTAAAAGGCAATTCAGCCTCCATTAACTTTATTAACTACATCTGCGCCTTTCCTACTGTGACGTATCAAAATGTCTGCGGTGAGAAGAAGGGGCCTTCAGTAGAATGAGATCAACTCAAATAAACACAAATAAACTCTGAATGTGTCGCTGGAAACAATGATTCAAACGAGACCAGTTTGAGCTGATGATTAGTTGCAGTGCATGTGCTCCATCCATTGTTTTTAACATGACGTTTTAAATGAGGGGTTTTGTCTAATATAATTTGTATTTTTGAATGTATAAATCCAGTGTAAATCCAAGGGGGTCGTAATATCATTGATAATGAGACCAATAAAATCTGTTACACGTGTTTTTGTTGTCTTTGCTTTCAGTGTTTTGTGAAATGCTGAACAGAGTAATGAAACTATTTGTCCATTAAAGAGAAAATCAGTCACCAACCTGACTTGATGATTGATTTATTGTTTAAGACACGTGTCGCTTCTCAAATTCAATGATTCATGGCTTTGTATGGAAGTGAACTGGAGGTTTGGGGGATTTTGTTCGGTCGGTTAAAGGCAAAACAAGATTTTCATAAAATATTTGACAGATTAATTGAAAGTGAGAATCTAAAACGGGTCTTTGGTGAAGAGCCCACGATCTAAAAACATATGCAACCTGTACCAGAGGGTTGTGAGCAGATATGGCTGCATTTCAAACAGTCTCCTCATTTCACACCTTTCATAGAAAAGCCCTGTTCTACCTGTACACTAGATGTCCTCAGTGAGCTCCCACCTCTGATCACCTGCCTTCCTACCTGGAGCTCTTTTTGTTTGTTTATTTCCGTAGCATACAAATAGAGAATTGTTGCATTTAGAAAAAATGTAATATCGCATTGAAGCTTTCTGAATTGTATTACTTTTGTGTTTCTCTAATCATATTATCTATTCTATTGAGTTAAAGAAAAAAATATTCTGTCAATTATATTTGTTTTTCTAAGATAATGAAGTAGTATTCGATAACACTTGCTTTTTGGTTTGTTTCATAGGATATCTCTTTGATCATAGTTTACTTTCATCTTGCCAAGGTTTTCAACTAGCTGCATTCTTTCCTGCTCATATTTCAGATACTATGACACGATGAACAAAACGTTTCCTCTTGCCCACAATAACCACATTTTCCTGTCTCAGGTTTTCCTATTTTTTGCAAAGTCATGTGTTTCCAAATCTGAGTCTTGATGTCATTGTTTCTTCTCTCCATCTCATTTCTCCCTCCAAAAACATCCTGTCTCCCTCCCTTTGCTTCTGCCACCTTTCTTTCATTCTTTCTTTCTTCTTCTTCTACCACATACACCTGGCCTGCACTGACGACAGTACGCTGCCTCGTTGTCACTCGTGTGTTGGGACGAACCGTTCAGGTCAAAATATTTAAACACCTGCCAAATGATGGTGTTTTCCATCAGTCCCAGTATCACCCTGCATTTATCTTTATAACAACACCACCCTCCCCTGGTTGAAAGTGCTCATACAGCAGCAGGTCCCTCTCTCAGAAGGATGTCTAAATCCAGTGAGATTTTCATGTCAAGATCCAGTGATGTGTTATTGGATAACATTTTTTGTCCAAATCAGACACTAAATAATTTCATTTAGCAGATTTCTGCTGCTTGTTTAGGATCCAAAGTTTCCATTTAGAAAATGTGTTTTATATTTTGTCAGTTTATTTTCATATATATTCAGGCAGCTTCTGCGTCCATGAGAATCACAATGAGAGAAATCACTAGAAATAGCGATGTTCTATCAGCAAAATTCACCCAAACGACAGTAAATCCCATTAAGCTCCTGCTCTCCTCGATCATTTTGTAAACGCCTTTTTTTGTAAAAATAAATAAATAGAGACAGAAAGAGAAATTTGAATCACTTCAACATTATTAAAAATCAATGTATGGTTTCAATCTTTTTTAAAGCAAAATTAACTAAATCTCCAGAAGTTGGAGACATGATAGGTTCCACATTATTGCATGAAAATGACTTAAATAATTATAACAATCAAAACGATGATCAATGCATCACTATGAGTTATTCATGGTTGATTTTGTGTCCATTTACAAATCAGTTGATCAGCAGATAGTTTCATCTTCACGTGCACATTCTGTGGAGTAGTTTAATCAATAAACGAGGCATCAAAGTTCTATTAGCTCCTCTTGTGTTTTGTCTTAATTTTTTTTAAAGCAATTAAAGTTTTCAGATAATGTAAAAGTGTTAAAAGCAAATAAAGTATTTTTCAATGTAACTACTGACGTGACAGGAAAATACCCAGGTGAAGTAAAAGTACCTCCACACCAAGTACACGTGAGTAGATGTAGTAAAAGATAAAGTTTTAATCTCTTTAATTTCTGGAGGGAGGATTTTTTTAAACCAGCGCGGGTGGGTGCGTTTTACTCACCAGGTCGCACCGGCGCCAGCAGGGGGCGGGGTTTCTCGTGTGACGCCGCCGACACAGGCGACCCCGCTCCCGCGCACCGCTCCTCGACTCAAACCCAGCGCCCCTGTCCGCTGCTGCGCCATCGCCGCTTAGCATCGCGTTAGCTCGGTGGCTAGAAGAAAGCTAGCTCGCTGCGCAGGGGGGCGAACCGCCGGTGCTGCGAACGGACGAACTAATTAACGATTTTACCGAGCGCAAGACATTTTACTCGTTCAGGTCGCGGTGAGTATTTTGTTCCAAGACATTTTTCATTTTTCCTTCCTTTTTCTTTTCTTTTTGGATTTTTCTCCACGGTGTCCTCATTTTTTTTTTTTTTTTTTTTTTTTT